CTCTGAATGCTCGCTACCTTGTGTCATCCAACCTATCGACAGATTCATCTAGGTAATTGCAATTAGTCAGGGATCAGCCACCTGATGTGACAAGAACATGTTCAAGAATGAGGGTATTGGTGCCTTTTCAAAGGGGCTGAACTGCTGGGCTGCTTAGACAACTACATATACAACTGCCCGACTTGGATCATTTAGGATTCTGACCAATATAAAGCATTAGGCCAATGATGGGAAGCCCTACCTTTTATATCAGAAGGCTTTTGTGTGGCTTAACTGTTGGAGCAATTGGAGCATCATTGGTTTAGTCCAGCAGATTTAGCACTCATTCGTATGCAGCAGATGCTACCTTACCTCTCGCACAGCGCCGGAACTACACGAATGCATTCCATGCCCTTTATCGTATGTTGCAGATGAAGGAGTTTTGGCACTCTGAAAGGTGCAGGCCCTACTATAGTGAGAGCAATGGCACTGAATATGGGAATGCTTGCCTTATATGACCAGAGTGTGGAGTTCTTTAAGGATTCTGTGGTTTTGGTGAGGCTGCTAAATATTAGGGCGGCAGCTGTTTCAGGATTCTTTGCTGCAGCCTGCAGTTACCATTTGATTATGTGAAAACCCAGATACAGAAGATGCAACCTGATGCTGAAGGCAAATTCCCATACACTGGTTTTTAATATAAACAAGAGACCACACACTCACACATGCACCTCTGGTTTTTTTAATCTTCCAACCTTTTCCTTTTTTTTATTTTATCTTCAACTCACGTGGCATGTCTCTTCATGTTTTTTATTTTCTTTTATCATCATCACATACACTCATCATTTCTCCCACATTTCTTTTAATATTTCCCATCATTTCTTTTAAACTTCTTTCTGCCAACCTGTCCCCATTGATTTTATAATTCATACATATCTATTTATAAAAAAAAAAAAAAAAATCATAAACAAAAACACCCGCACATCGTTTTATTCATGACCGGGAATTAACCCCTATCACATTCTCTACAAAAAAAAAAAAAAAAAAAAACAACAAACAACAGCTTTGTTTTCTTTCTGCAGCGGCACACATCGACCTCACTCTTCTCTTCTACTCTGCCGCGGTCTTTTCTTTTTGCCTCCGTCCTGGGTCGGCCCTGACGGGTGCTGCCACCTCCGTGTTTCCCACTCCACTGGGCATGATCACTCCTCCCTGCTCCTCCACTAACAGAATATGGCGGACCCTCCAAAACGGAACATCACGGTGGCCTTCCGCTCAGCTCTTTTTTTCCGCCTTCAGCACACTTTATCTCTGCTCGGGCATCTTATAACATGCGCTTGGAGAGAGCCAGTTGGCGAGTTATATGCTGCACCTCATTTGTCTAGCTCTGCAGCCCGGTCGGACAGTTTGTAACGCCAGCATGCGTTCCACACAGACTTTCAAGTGTATACTGATTGGCTTCCACATGTCGTTGCACTGCCATTTCTTGCTCCACAGACCGCATAGGAAAGTTCCAACGGAGCAAACCCTGGGGCACTGTGTTGAGGTCTCACATGGCCCACGCACCAGTTACTCTCATCTTGTTGTACTCGTTGAGGTAGCGCGAAAGAGGGTGAGCAGACCAGCGGGAAGACGAAGCCATTTTCTAGAGCAACAGAGTGTTTACAGATCATTCTTCTTAGAAAGTCCTCTCTCCGCAAACAGAAGAGTTTTTTTTCAGAGAGTTTTTTTCTAAGCAAGTTTTTGTCTCCGCCTTTCTCGGCCCCGCCTCCGCTTGGTTTAATAACGGGACCAGCGTATCGCAGCGCATAAGCAGCACGACAACGGCGCCGCGCGCATCATGTGCAACTCGCCTCCATATCTGGCGACCTTTTTGGATGGGCACGCCTGTTTTTGATGAGGGCACGCCTTTTAGGCGCGACTTTGAGGCTCAACTTTGATCATAATAATGATTGACGCATACACCTCTATGCAGGGTGGATTTTTTTAGGGGTCCCCGACAAAGACTCTGTAACTGTCCCGACATGATTCGCGGTTAGCTTCTTCAACGGTCCGACAAGACCTCTGTAAACTGTCCCGACATTGATTCCGTTAGCTTCCTTAAGGGTCCGACAAGACTTGTAACTTGTCCCGACAATTGATTCCGGTCTAGCTCCTTCAGGGTCCGCAAAGACTCTGTAAACTGTCCCGACATTGGATTCCGGTTAGTTCTACAAGGGTCCAGCAAGACTCCGTAACTGTCACAACAACTATCACAACATTGTCGCTACAACGGTCCGCATGACCCATAAACTGTCTTCTACATCGGTCTGACACCAGCCATCCAGTGTCTCTACACCGTTATGACAACACCAATACAGTGTCCTCTACATGGGTTATGACACCCCATAACAGTGTCCTCTACAACGTTTATGACACCACCATCCAGTGTCTTCACCAATGGTCTGACACGACGGCAAACAGTGTCTCTTATCCTTCCTTTTATTTTTATGTATTTTTCTTGTTTTGTTACTCTCTCCAAACTCAAGTTGGTTAGTTCTATCCCCCTTGAAGTTTGCGGGGGCGGCTGTTATAATCCACCTACTCTAAACTACTCAACCCACCTTAAACGCTAACCACTACACCACTACCAACCTCACCTACTCCACTAAACGCTAACCCACTTTACACCACATAGCCACCTTCCACTTCATCCTACTCCTTAACCTACTACAAACACTCCCTCTCCTATATATAAGAAATCAATGAAATCACTTGTAATAGATATTGAATATATATCAATCAATATCACTATTTCTTACAATCTTCAGTTCATGTTCTTCATGTTCTTCACGGGTGGAGAACCCAGATCTCCGACCTCACTTCCTAATGTATCGCGGAGAACAACTCTTACCTAGACCTCAGCACTTAGGCCAAGCACCGTATCTTTCACCTTGGCCTAACCTTGCATGATCATTACAACCTTTAGTTTGTCTGTGCGCACCTCGGCATTGCCGCCTGCATGCCGAAGCCTAGGTAACCCAACCTCGGCCTAGAGGTGTGGACAGCTCGGCAAAGACCTGGTTGGTGCCAGCAATGTCTCTTGACATGTAAACAGTGTTTTTTGACTTCCAGCATGTTTCTCCGAGATCATTTTGCATTCATGTAAGGCTTGTTTGAGAAGTGGCATTCATTTAGACTGCCGATGTGTTTGTAGACTTGGACGCTTTGGCCTTGATCAGACGTCCCAGGGACTATGTGAGTGGTATTTCTAAATAAGTTATGTTTATCAAGTTTTTAAATAAAGGCTTTGCCTTGTTTTGGATAAAAGTTTTGTTAAGCTGAATGATATCCCTATTTTTATGTATCAAGTATAAGCTTTGTTTTGGATTTTGACATTCTTGGAACCGTCCATTTTTGTGTTAGGGGAGCGTTAAGCTGAGTAACACCGTCCTTTCGTGTTAGGGGCGTTAAGGCCTAGGTACATAGTCTGTGCGTGCCAGGGGACTTTAAGCATTTTGGTGGCAACAAGTCCATACGTGCTAGGGGACTATAAGCATTTGTAGCACAACCTTTGGAAGTCCGGTAGTGCTGGGGGACTATACAGCATTTGCAGCACAGTCTATTGACGGTCTATGAACGGATGGCCGATCTCTGCCAAGTAATGTTTTGTACAAAGTCATGCCAAGTATATGTTTTGAATAAGCTATGATTATATGTATTGTTTTGACAAGGACTCGGGAATCATTTCAATTCTTATTAAAACTTTTATACTGACCATTTCAATGAGTGTCCATAGTTCTACCCTCTCTATGTATATATGTAGGTGTTTTAGCATGAAGGCGGTGATGCCTGAGATGTGCGTTCTGCAAGATGTTTTGAAAATGCAATGTTATGTCGGCCAATATTTAATGTCGGCATCTTAGAAGATTATGCCTCTCGACGCTCGGATTCTTGTATTTTGTTTATGGTCGGCTTGAGCAAGGCCTTTCAATCAAGAACGTAATAATGTATTTTATTTTGCTTATATTCAAGTTGTAAGCTATGTAAACATGTATGGGCATTCAATTCGACTTATATAAGCTCTTATAGGACTAATTAGAATTGCATATATTGCTTCCGCACATGCTTAGTCCCATATGTAATACCTGATTGTGTGTGAATTTGAAAGTTGGCCTTCGGTAATCTCGGATACTGACCATCATGACAACCATTTAACTAAGGGGGCGGAATGGGTCGTGACACTACACCTTAACGATCAATTTGGAAATTAAATAAAAAGGAAATTGAATGAGATGGAATTGAATAAAAATAGAAAGTTTGAATAAATAGAAATGGAAACTGCATAAAATACATGGAAGTTCAATTCCAAGAACCCACTATACCTTAACGATCTATAGAAGAAGTGAGGTCGATGTGTAGCCGCTGCAGAAAAGAAAACAAAGCTGTTGTTGTTGTTGTTTTTTTTTTTTTTTTTTTGGTGTAAAATGGTGATCGTTTTTTTTTTTTTTGTAGAAATGTGATGGGGGTTAATTCACTGTCATGAATAAAACGATGTGCGGTGTGTTTTGGTTTATGATTTTTTTTTTTAAATAGATATGTGATAAAATAAATGAAATTATAAAATCAATGGGGAACAGGTTGGCAGAAGAAAAGTTTAAAAGAAATGATGGGAAATATTAAAAGAAATGTGGGAGAAATGATGAGTGTAATGTGATGATGAGAAAAGAAAATAAAAAATCATGAAGAGACATGCCAGGTGAGTTGAAGAATAAAAAATAAAGAAGGAAAAGGCTGAAATATTAAAAAAAGGATGGTGGGTTTGAAGTGGTGGTCCTTGTGAACAGAGCACTGAACCTACTATTGATGTAAAACGCATGAAAAGAATGGTTTCGAACAGGGAATCTGCTAGACGCTATTAAAAAAAAAAAGGATTGTGGGGTTGCTGCGGAAAGAAAAAAAATATATGTAAATATAGATATAGATAAGATAAAGAGGGTTTGAGCGGTGGAAAAGAAATAAAATAAAATATGATGATAGTGGGACTATGCAGCCTCACCAAAACCCACAGAATCCTTGAAGAACTCCACACTCAGGTCATATGAGGCAAGCATTCCCATATTCAGTGCCATTGCTCTCACTACAGTAGGGCCTGCACCTTTCCAGAGTGCCAAAACTCCTTCATCTGCAACAATACGATAAAGGGCATGGAATGCATTCGTGTAGTTCCGACGCTGTGCGAGAGGTAAGGTAGCATCTGCCTGCATACGAATGAGTGCTAAATCTACTGGACTACCAACTGATGCTCCAATTGCTCCAGCAGTTAAGCCACACAAAGCCTTCTGATATAAAGGTAGGGGCTTCCCATCATTGGCCTCAATTGTTTTATTTGTCAGAATCCTAAATGATCCAAGTCGGGCAGTTGTATATGTAGCTTGTCTAAGCAGCCCAGCAGTCAGCCCCTTGTAAAAGGCACCAATACCCTCATTCTTGAACATGTTCTTTGTCACATCAGTGGCTGATCCCTGACCTAATTGAATTCTGACCTTGATCATGTCGATAGGTTGGATGACACAGGTAGCGAGCATTCCAGAGGCTCCGCCATTGACGAAAGGCTTCACGGTGGGCCAAACACCACTGGCTTTTGGCTTCGTCTCTCCCATTTCTTCTTTCTTTTTGCTAATAGTTAGCCCCCAAAATTGAACAAACAAAAAAGCAGACAGAGAGAAGAGAAAGAGCCTTCGTCAAAAACAAGAGAGAATTTTTGCAGACTAGGTGAAGGTCCGGCGGACGGCTAAGGTGAGGTTGCCGCCCGCCGGTGAAGCGAAAAAATATTAGGTTCTAAACCTGCTCTGATACCATGTAAGAAATAGATGTATTATTGATTGATATATATTCATATCTATTACAATGATTCATGATTCCTATATATAGAAGAGGGTGAGTGTGTAGTAGGTAAGGAGTAGGTGAAGTGGAGGTGGTAGTGGTGTAGTGGGTTAGGCTTAGTGGAGTAGGTTTAAGTGGGTGAAGTAGGTGATAGGTTTAGTGGAGTAGGTGAGGTGGTAGTGGTGTAGTGGGTTAGGTTTAGTGGAGTAGGTTTAAGTGGGTGAAGTAGGTGGAGAGTAGGTGGATTTTAACAAATTCCTAATCAACCCTAAACCTTTTCCTACCAAAACCTAACTTGAATAGCGCCAGATTGCTTTCCCTGAGCCCACTGTGGCTATTTGAATTTCCATTGGAATGGTTACTTCAGTTTTCATTAGATGATAAATTGCACCTTAAAGTGCCTATTTTAGTAACATGGTTAAAAGTTAGCTTTTCGACTTTTTTGGTTTTTTTGAGTTATATCATCTCTTTACGTTTTTGCGCATTTTTTTTTTTCAAAATAAAAATAAAAAATAAAAAAGTCAGCTTTTATTCTCATGCAACATGTCTATTCTACTAGTTGATGTTTGTATGAGAGGTTGAGCTATGTTTTACTGCATTGAATATTTCTAAGCTACTAGTGGATATGTATGTATGTTTGCCAATCTTAGTGTTTATGAGCCATCAATTTAGGAGTATTTCTCAATCTCAAATACCTCAAATACTGTAACCCATTCATTTTTATAACAAATTGTTGGGATTTTTTGTGAAACCCCGCTTTTTGGGCTTTTTTTTTTAGGGTAAAGGACAACTCAATGAATTTTCCTTCAAAAAGCCCCTGAGTAGGAAACACGCGCCTCAATAAGGACATTCTATAATTTGTCTATTTTTTTTTTTTGACAATATTGCCTTTCTATATATGTATCATATATTTTAAAATCTGAGCTGATATATACACGGATTTGCGAAGACAATTTGCGAAATCATTGAACATGATTTGCGAAATCAATGAAGATAATCTCCAAATCTGAAGATTTCGCTGTCGAAGATCTTGCCGTTGAAGATCTTGCCCTTGGTCAACAATAGACGATCTCGTTGCCGACGATCAACACATTCAATTAAATGAGAGATTACATTTCAAATCTGTACAAATTTGTATCAGATTTTGAGAGTTTCATTGAGATTTGTGAGTGTTGATTGAGTTTTAGAGATTTTGCTTCAATCAAGTGCTTGATTATTGTTCGAGTTCAATTAGGTTTGTTGATTTGTCGATTAGTTATTTTTTTTGTTTGTTTGTTTGTTTTTGTTTTTGATTTATTTTTATTGTGTATGATCTGATTTTGTTTGACAGAATGAGAGTAAAATTTTACTCTGGTACTATGTGCTTTGTTTTTGTTTGATAGAATGAGAGTAAAATTTTACTCTGGTATGTGCTCCGTTTTTGTTTGATAAAATAAGAGTAAAATTTTACTCTGGTGTGTGCTCTATTTTTGTTTGATAGAATGAGAGTAAAATTTTACTCTGGTATGTGTTCGGTTTTTGTTTGATAGAATGAGAGTAAAGTTTTACACTCTGGTATTATGTATTATGTGTTTTTATTTTTTGATAGAATGACAGTAAAATTTTACTTTGATACTGTGTACTTCTGTTATTTATTTTTGGACTCGTAGTGACAGTAAAATTTTACCTTGATTGACAATAAATTTTTATTGTCAACTGATTGCAGATTTGAAAAATGGTTTTACCTCTTATGTTATTATGCAAGTATGGTGATTGTACCATTGTGTTGAAGGTTGTGTCAAACTGCACATTGAAAGATTTAACCGATTTCTATTGTTTATTGATGGTGCTTTCCTGAATGGAAAATATAAGGGTACATTGTTATCAACTACAACGAAGGATGAGAATCAAGGTAGATACTACTGTCAGTGTCTTACAAAGTAAAATTTTAC